TAGTTCAATTAGATCTACCAAGTTAAACTAGATATACCTAGTTCAGCTAGATATAACTAGTTTAACTAGATTTACCTAGTTTAACTAGATTCACCTAGTTCAGCTAGATATAACTAGTTTAACTAGATTTACCTAGTTTAACTAGATTCACCTAGTTCAATTAGATCTACCACGTTCAACTAGATCTATCTAGTTCAACTAGACCTACCTAGTCTAACTACTTGGCTCACACCGATTTCAACTGGTATGAAATTGACTTTGAACGCTTGGCCGTTGATTTTAACTCATTAACTCACTTGTACTTTTTTGTAGGCACTTGTTTTCAGCAAGTAATTGTCTAAGTTCTGTTTCACAGTGGGCTTACAAAGTTTCTGATACATGATTAAAGTCAGGATTCAGTAGTACAGCCAGACATTGTTAAACATCTGTAATGTTTCCTGTCCGCTTTGAAACATTTTCCTTTCCTTTTCATGAGTTTATGGTTGCAGTTAAAGTTTTATTCTTTGTGGGTCAATCATCAATAATGAAATTATCTAATTTACACGCAAGGATTTTAAAAACTCTTGGTTTAATTTTTATGTTGCATTTACTTTGTGTGATCTTGCAACACAGAGGAATTGTGTCTCATATTTTATAATCCCTATATCTTCACAACCTGATGGTGTAAACCTTTGATATTTCATACTTTTTTGTACCAACATAATTCATAGTTTAAGATATCTAAGGTTTCCTACATTTGGTTGCAAATTTATAGGGATTAGAAAATCAGAATGTGTGGCAAAGACTTAATTCCTTTGTAAATATAAAAAAGTTACAAAATTGTAATTAATTGAGTCAATTTGTTTATACAGCTGAAGCTTTACAGTAACATTTCCAATAAGAAATATTGTTTCATATTTTTGAATATTTTGAATATAGTTTCTTGCCTGCAGCACTAAGAGCAGAGCACACATAGTATCCTTGATCTTCCTCCCTTACTCCGTTTATACTCAGGCTTCCATCCTAGATTTTATTAGTTATTTAGTTATTTAATTGATTTTTTAATCGATTAATTGATTGATCTAAAATATTTCTTTCTTACTCCGTTTATACTCAGGCTTCCATCCCAGATTTTATTTAGTTATTTAACTTATTTTTAATTGATTCATTGATTGCTTGATCTATTAATTGATTTATTGATTTTTCTTCCTCTCTTAAAATGTTTATTGTTAGGGTTCCTTCCTAGATTTGATCTATTTATTCAATTTATTTATTGGTTGATCGATTTATTGATTGAGTTGTTGAGTTGATAAATTGATCTATTGAATTGAATAATTGATTTATTGAGTAAGCTAATAGAGTTGATAAATTGATCTGTTGAATTGAATAATTGATTTATTGTGTAAGTATTAGATTTGATTAATTGATCCTCAACGTAAACGCAATTCGTTTAATTGATAAAGATAGATAGATGGATAGATAGATAGGTATATAGATTGATAGATAGATAGATAAATAGATTTATAGACAGATAGACAGATAAACGGATAGACAGATAGATAGACAGATAAACGGATACACAGATAAACGGATAGACAGATAAACGGATACACAGATAAACGGATACACAGATAAACGGATAGACAGAAAGATAGATAGATGTCTCTGGATAATAAATTGTGGGTAACTGAGCCATGTAAAGACTCCCTAATGAAGTTGGCTTGAGTCCTTCTGTGTTGGCACTAGGAGACAAGAGACTAGAACTTGAAAACTTAAAGATTATCATATTTTAAGATTTATTTATCTTTAATGCGACAAAAAAAATAATTTATATTGTGTTTTTGTTAAAAATTATGATTAAAATTATCAAGGAATTGAGTCTTTTCCACAAACTCAAATCCTCTAATCATAATATCTTCGCAACCTGATGGTGTAAAATTTTGATTTTTAAAACTTAGATTATTTATGTAACAGAATTCATAGTTTGAAATATCTAAGGTCTACGACATTGGGTTGCGAAGAAAAGGTGATTAGAAAATCAGAGTTTGTGGCAAAAACTTTCACGAGAGACCGAAATAAAGTGCTTGATTGTAGAAATTCACACACATTAGAGATTCAGTATCATAGCAAAGTAAAAAATGAAAAAAACTTTATTTTTTTAAAAAGAGCATCTAACCACATTGAGGTTGGTTTTTAATCAAAGAAATGTTAATTAAGAGAAAAGTCAAAACTAAAAATAATAGTTTTATCAGTGGAAAAATTTAACATTTAATTCCGAGATTAGATAAGGCCGACCCTTTATGTTTTAAAGTTTTTCCTCTCTTATTCTAAAGATCTGCAATCTTAGTCCTTCTTCATTTAGAGTTCTTACTAGCTTTTGCTTTATAACAATCTTTCCGCAGAGACGAATTATATTTTAATATGATTGAAAATTTAACTTTTGGTCGGTTTTTGTCGTTTTTATCTGACCCTGACTCTGACCCTGACCCTGACCCTGACCCTGACCCTCATCCTGACCCTGACCCTGACCCTGACCCTGACTCTGACCCTAACCCTGACCCTGGTCTTGACCCTGACCTGATCGACATTGAAGATTCCATGACTGGTCCCGGGGAACATCAGATTTTGATCTCCCTGAAAAAAAAGTAAATAATGATGTTGATAATATTAATTATAATAATAATAACTAGCTGAAGGCCCGGCGTTGCCCGTGGAAAAAAACATTTTTTTTTAAAAATCAATTTTTTTCTAGCCTATAACACCCTCCAACCACCCATGAGTGTCCACACAAAAATTCAGCCCAATCGGTCCAGCTGTTTGGCCGGCTATGCGCAACACATATATGATATGAATGTCGTGTTTTATTATATATATATAATAATAAACGTCAAAACGGCTGAACAAATCGAGTCCAAATTTTCTGTGGGACCTTACATGACCCCAGGGAAAGTTTATGGATGCTCTATATTACAAAAATTTGTGTCTAAACTTTTTTTTATTATTGTCTTATATTGTAAAAAGAGAAGATGCTCACAGACAGCGCCACAATTAAAATTTGAAACAGAAGATGGGCACGAAGCGCCCTAATAATAATGATAATAAAAATAATATTGGTAGTTATATTGTACCCAGTTCTACAATAAGTATGTAACTTTTCCTTGGACAAAAGACAACTTTAACTATTACAATACCAGGGAAACTTTCCTAAAGGAATTTAGAATTGATAGACCAGAGTGCTAGGGGAGGAAAGGTGGAGGGGGAGGATGGATATGGGGAGTAGGGGTGGGGGTGGGAGGAAGGAAACAGAAAATTTAACGAGTAGGAATTGGAAAAGTTTGATTTGAACAAAAAAGATAACAAGACATGAGCGTGTCGAGAACTACAAATGACTGTAAAGGTTGGAAACTAGATCTACTCAAGAGAGAGAACACTGGATGTCTGAATATATATTTGTGTACAATGTGTATAGTAAAGTACAAAGAGGGAGTTGACAGGAACTGGTCAACTTCCACGTAAACATAAACAGGGAAAAATATGATAAATATATATGAATAAACTGGTCCTCCACATGACTTTATTTCCTTTTTTTGATTTTAAAACCTCGAGAAAAAGTCTTTCTTTGTCACAAACTATTACAATGCAACTATTGCAAATTTTTGACGCGTTTCAATTCCATTTTTATATAAATCCATAATTTGAGAAATACCAACAATTCAAAACAAATAAGATTTTCAGGCACTAATTTTTGCATGGATATTCAGGCACTAATTTTTGCATCGATGTTGCGGGTCTTGAAACCTTGATCTTGATATCTAATGTCAACACTTTTGAAATTGAGGATAAATGTTTGATCCGACAATTAAAGTTTTTCCTGGGATCAGGGGTATAACAATCACGGAATATCGAGGAGGAGTTAGAATTAGATTCAAATCAATGCCCGGAAATTGTAAAGGTTATACTCCATATTCTATACTCTATACTCTATACTCTATGGCAAGGTGCATGATTTATATATTCTGTACTCTTGAGTGGCAGGGTTCATGCTTTATATATTCTGTACTCTCAGGTTGCAAGGTACATGCTCTATATATTCTGTACTCTCAGGTTGCAAGGTACATGCTTTATATATTCTGTACTCTCAGGTTGCAAGGTACATGCTCTATATATTCTGTACTCTCAGGTTGCAAGGTAGATGCTTTATATATTCTGTACTCTCAGGTTGCAAGGTAAATGCTCTATATATTCTGTACTCTCAGGTTGCAAGGTACATGCTTTATATATTCTGTACTCTCAGGTTGCATGGTACATGCTCTATATATTCTGTACTCTCAGGTTGCAAGGTAGATGCTTTATATATTCTGTACTCTCAGGTGGCAAGGTACATGCTCTATATATTCTGTACTCTCAGGTTGCAAGGTAGATGCTTTATATATTCTGTACTCTCAGGTGGCAAGGTACATGCTCTATATATTCTGTACTCTCAGGTTGCAAGGTACATGCTCTATATATTCTGTACTCTCAGGTTGCAAGGTACATGCTCTATATATTCTGTACTCTCAGGTTGCAAGGTAGATGCTTTATATATTCTGTACTCTCAGGTGGCAAGGTACATGCTCTATATGTTCTATACTTTCAGGTGACAAGGTGTATGCTCTATGTATTCAATACTTTCAGGTTACAAGGTACAATGTTGGGAAATAGGATTTAAAAGAGCTGTGAGGATTAGAATTAGCTTTGTAGAAAACTGGTCAACTAAAGTATTGGTTCCAGGGTTTATTTTAGAAACAATTTAAATTAAAGTTGAGGGTTAGGGCCTGGGTGGTTTGAGAAGAATAAAGTTTTATCAAACTAAAAACTAGTGGCTAGTGGTGAAAACTTTTAAAAATTCCCCCTGATGATGTAAATGTTCAAAGCAAGTTTTTAACCAACTCTTCCTCCCCTCTTCTCATCTCTTCTTCCCCCCCCCCTCCTCCTTCTTCTTAGTACTGGTTTATCAGTAAACTTGGTTTAAACTGTTGAAAATCTTCTTGATCTTCATCTCTGTGTAATTTCCTATTCAGAAGGGAATACAAGGAAGTAGAGGGGGAAGGTCGGGTCACGTGATCACGAGGGGGGGGGGAGGCACGTGAGAGGGGGTAGTACTAAGAATGTAATAATAAGGAGAAGGAGGGAGGGGGAAATTGAAAAGAAATCTCAATATCGAATATTTCTGATAAAATCTTCAATTATTATTTCTGGTGCAGTAGATTGGTATATATCCGTCTTCCTAGTTAAACTTTGCTTCACAGTTTCATTCAACTTTATTCTTTGAACACATGGAATTATGTCCATTGAACATTTGGACCTTTGTTCTTTGAACTCTTGAACCTTTGTCCTACCCTACATCCCTTGCCCTACCCTACATCCCTTGCCCTGACCTACACCCCTTGTCCTACCCTACACCCCTTGTCCTTCCCTACACCCCTTGTCCTACCCTACACCCCTTGTCCTTCCCTTCACCCCTTGTCCTACCCTACACCCCTTGTCCTACCCTACACCCCTTGTCCTACCCTACACCCCTTGTCCTATCCTACACCCTTTGTCCTGACCTACACCCTTGTCCTGACCTACATCCCTTGTCCTGACCTACACCCGTTGTCCTACCCTACACCCCCTGTCATAATCTACACCCTTTTGCCTACCTGCATCCATAGTCCTACCATAGAACCCTGGTCCTACACCCTATATCCTACCTCTTTAGTCCAGAATATAGTAGGATGAGGACTACCAGCTGCTTGACAGTAGAATACTGCTAGTCCGTTCAAACCAACTTTCACAGGTTCTGGTCGAACCAGGAAAAGAGGTTCAGCTGAAAAAATAAAAGATTTCAAAATATGAGGCAGAGTTTAAAGAATTTAAACCGCGTCGCTGACCCGCAAAAAATCGGTTCCAATTGAGCGCTGCACTGGCTCAAATATAGAAACAATGAATATAATTTTAAGTGGAATCAACCATGTCTGAGCCACGTCTCGTATTTGAAATGCGGCTTAAATTCTTTAAATTCTGCCTCTTTTAATTTTTCAAAATAAAATCTAATATCTTAGGTAAATTTTCAAAAAAATAATATTATTTACTAATTTTCCTCAATATTTTAGTAAAAAATCTATTAAACGTTTCTTATATTAATTAATAACAAATAATCATGCATTTAATTATGTTCTCAAACTTTAATTGATATTTAAGATTTTCCGAAATGTGTAAAAACTGTCAAAAACCTTTTTTTGCTTAAAAAAAACAAAAAAACAATGTAGCCATTTTGAAAAAATATAAGAATGTCATGCAAGTACTTTTGAGCAAAAATATGAGAAAAAAAAGGAAAAAAATTTAACGAATCAAAAAATCGTCAATAATTGAATTTCAGAATTAAATTTTCTTGAATTTGTTCAAATAAAATCAAAATATTTTTATGAATTATTCAACCGGCGCGCGCGCGTGTATCTGATATAGAATTGATTTAATTACCGGAGAAATTAGTGTAATTAACCCTGGATAATTACATACATGATAATTATACAGCGTATTATCATGGATAATGATTAATAATAATATTCTATATTATTGGAAGTAATGAACTGAAGCATGCAATGTAGATCAGATTCTTCAAAGAAATTTAAAGGGAGTAGTTCCGTAGAAACAATCTTTAATGAAACTGTAGACGTTTTATAAGAAATGTCTTACCATGTACAATAAGAGAGACTGAGCCAGTAACAGACCCTACTGTATTTTCTGCAGTACAATAGTATACTCCTTCATCAGAGGCCAGTACAGAATATATATGCAGGTTGTCCTCTCTACAGTACATACATTACAACTTCAGTAAAAGAAATACCTGTAGCATTTCACAATTGAAATACAAATTTTGACCAATAATTTCCATTCTTTCACCTAAATTTTTTTTAGTCCAACTTTTTTTTCAAATTTTAAATTTGATTGGAAAAAAATATGTCTCTTTAAGAAGAAAAACAATGAATTTTTATGAAATATTTTGTCTGAAATCTTGTCAGACATATTGAGAGAAATGTTTTCAGAACTGTTGTAAGAAATGTTGTCTGAAATGTATTCTAAAATTGTTGTCTGAAATGTTGTTTAAACTTTTGTCTGAAATGTATTCTAAAATGTTGTCTGAAATTTTGACTGAAATGTTGTCAGAACTGTTGTCTGAAATGTTGTCTGAAATAATGTCTAAAAATTGTCTGAAATAATGTCTAAAAAATGTCTGAAATGTTGTCTGACATGTTGTCTTGTATATATTCCTGTCAGTAACAGCTCTAGTCTCTAATTGGTCTCCTTCCTCTCGTCTCCAGGATACTCGGGGGGTTGGATCACCCTCAACCTAATATATAGATATATCTAGATCAAGGTTGTATAATAAGGTTATATACTCTCAATGCGCTACAATGTACGGAAAATGTCATCTCCATAGCATAGATAAATAGAATCCGCATATGATGTCACTCTCGCTTCTATAATTAGGGACGTCATATTACAGATTGTATTAATCTATGCAAAGGAGACGACATTTTCCGTACAATAGAGCGCATTGAGAGTAAGCAACCTTATTATACAACCTTGATCTATATATTTATATCTATATATTTATAGATAAAATAGATAAAAATGTAGATACAGATTTAGATAAACATGTTATTGATCAGGGTACGTTCCAAGAAGGGTGATTAGGGATTTATGAATTTATATTTTAAGTTTTTGTTAAATTATATTTTTCAATTAGAAACCTTATTTCTGTTTAAAAAAGGGTCCTTCTTTAGTCAATCAATTGTGTAAAATAAAAAATCTGAGTAGTTACGAGGTAGATTGCCCCAAGGATGTAATGCAAGGAAATTTATTTCAGAAGAGTACGCATCTTTTGTACTGCAGTGTACTGTCTCTGGGCGGTAATGTAAACACAAGACGGATGTCGAAGCCTCACATTGGATCCATCTTTCACATAAAAAAATCAATGAAATATTTTGGTCAGAGGAAACTATATTATGTGAATTATCAAAATTATCAAAATGTAATGCTTTTATCCGCCTCGGATACTAAACGAACACTGATGCATCTATTCTTGTTCACAAATTCCGCCCAGAGAGAACTGGTTTCCTTGCATTACAACCTTGGATTGCCCTACCTGGCATCTAAGATAATGTGAGTAGTTACGAGGTAGATTGCCTTACCTGGCATCTAAGATTAACATCCTCTCCTTCCTTGACGTTCAGATCCTGTGGATCTGCCGTAAAATACGGTTTCACTGAAAATACATATTTTGTAAAATGTTTCCTTATTTTTGTCTTTTTTATTATTTCATATTACATTAGAACATCAATTATTGGGGGAACTTTAACATAATCCCCCTGGTACCATGATAATTATTCCCCCTTTCCTCGCCTTTATTAAGATAACAAACCTGCTCGCCTTTAATCATTAATATTAATTTGCGTTACAAAGGTAAAAAACGTTTTTTTTTGTGTTACGTGTTATATCTATATATGCAACTGCCTTGTGTATACGGGATACGGGACATTATATTTATTTATGAGAAATAATATCCCAGAAGATTTTCAAATTACAGAAAAATACACTGGATTTTAATTCTCTCAAAATGGAATAAAATATCTATTTCTATTTCCAGTTAGATTACTTCATTTAATTTTTTTAAGGGTTTGTCATTTTAATTTTTCTATTTAAAACGTTGAATAGACAAAAAATCAATCCTTTTAATTGACTAATGCAAGGAAAACAATTGGCCAATTGGCCAATTAAAAAAAAAATACCAAAATTTACAATAACAAAAACAACATGGTTTCTGGTAAAAATGAGATTGACCTGCCACTAATAACTTAAAAAGTTTGCAAAATATCATTATGACCCAAAGTTATTTTTAATTGCTAAATAATGCATTTAAAGAACTTTTTGAATATTTTCGAAATGAGAGGACGCGAAGCGCAGTGATTTCTGATTAGTTTGTTTGTAAAATATTCAGGTTCTAGAATATTTCCTGGAACTACTCACACAAACTTCATCAAGATTAAACTATTCACCATAGATTAGAATTAGAATAATTAAATATTTTCTTTTGAACCTTTCAATAAAGCCACCCTCCTCTAACCCCCCCCCCCCCATCTAATTGTCTTATTTCTATGCGGGTATCTAAGGTTCCAGTATTATAATAAGCTATTTGAAATGATCATTACGAAATCAATTTAAAATATTTCTGGGAGAAAATGCTAGTAAGAAAATGCAAGGTATGATTTCTGAATACAAATGCTTTGATAAAAAAGGTGTAAGATATATATGCACACATTTTGTACGTTTTATCGAACAATCTCATTTCCGAATTTTAAATATTTTGAGCGAAATGATGAACACAATGAACTGAAAACTTTAGAAGGGGATATCCTTAATCCCAATCGGTTTATTGATCTGGAGATTAATAACAAGAAAAAGAGGAGATCAAGCATTGATCTCGATATCCATCATTCTAAAGTTTTCAGCTCAGAAGTTGAAAATACCTATGTTAATTAGATATAACAAGCAAAATGTTAGTTTTTTTTTTAGGTTTAACTGTAGGGGACGTTCAGGAAAATTCATAAATTTAAGTGAAATAGGAAAATTTTAATGTATCAAAAATAAAAATAAAATGATTTTTTAGGACACATTTTTATCAACCACAATCCTCCATACGCTATGTATCCAATAAAGTTTTGATAAATAAAAAAGTTATTCTAGAAGTAACCCCTGTATTTCCGATCAGAATTATTCTTCAAATATAAAAAGAACTTTTCAATTTCCTTCTTTCCCAATTCTCTGTATAATAAAAGGGGAAATAAAATAAAATTGGGAAAAAGATCAAATCAGTTTCATTCAGAACATAATAAGATTCAAGATTTAGGATTCAAGATTTAGGATTCAAGACTTAGGATTCAAGATTCAAAATTTAGAATTCAAGATTTATTATTCAAGATTTAGGATTTAAGATTCAAGATTTAGGATTCAAGATTTAGGATTCAAGATTTAGGATTCAAGATTTAGGCAAGATTTAGGATTCAAGATTTAGGATTCAAGATTTAGGATTCAAGATTTAGGATTCAAGATTTAGGATTCAAGATTCAAGATTTAGGATTCAAGATTTAGGATTCAAGATTTTGGATTCAAGATTTAGGATTCAAGATTCAAGATTTAGGATTCAAGATTTAGGATTCAAGATTCAAGATTCAAGACTGAGGATTCATGATTTAGGATTCAAGATTCAAGATTTAGAATTCAAGATTTAGGATTAAAGATTTAGGATTCAAGATTTGGGATTCAAGATTTAGGATTCAAGATTTAGGATTCAAGATTTAGGATTCAAGATTAAGGATTCAAGATTCAAGATTCAAGATTCAAGTTTCAAGATTCAAAATTCAAGATTCAAATTTCAAGATTTAAGATTTAGGATTCAAGATTCAAGATTTAGGATTCAATATTTAGGATTCAAGATTTAAGATTCAGGATTCAAGATTCAAGATTTAGGATTCAAGATTTAGGATTCAAGATTCAAGATTCAAGATTCAAAGTTCAAGATTTAAAATTCAAGATTCAAGATTCAAGATTTAAGGTTTAGGATTCAAGATTCAGGATTCAAGATTTAAATTCAAGATTCAAGATTCAAGATTCAAGATTCAAGATTCAAGATTCAAGATTCAAGATTTAATTTTGACTTTTTTATTTATTTTTTTAAAAAATTATTTTTTAACTTGTTTATTTTGTGTTTATGTTTTTGATTTACCGTGAACTGAGAGAACAGCTACATCAGATTTTCTAGACCCAGCTATATTCTCCGCCTAAAATATTAGGTTTTATTTTGTAAAATTCTTAAATAATGTTTTTTTGTTGCCAAATATATAAAATTAAATCTTACGAATAAAGAATTAAGATAATCTCCAAGGTTTAACGCCAAAATATGCACATAATACTCGAAAAATCTAGTATTTGCTGCAAACTTTTACGTTAATCATATAGAATTTTTTTACATGATTAATTTAAAGTAGGCTCTGCAATTATTGTTATAAAATGTTTATAAAATCTATGTCTATGTCATTTAAAACTTTTCAAAATTTAAATTTCAATTCATTTAAACGTGCATTTTTTAAGAGAATTAAAAAAAAAAATTACGTTTTAATTTTTTTTGTACCTGACATATGTATTCTCCAGCATCAGTTTTTTCTACATCTTTTACTATCAAATTCCCTATAAAATAATTCTACCATAACAAATATTTAAAAAAGTTCATGTTCGATTCACAACGGTTCCTTTAAACCCTCATCTGATTGATAATATTCTATTTTTGAAAAGTGTTGAATTCTGATAACATCTCCTTTTTTTCTGAAGCAATTAAAATGCGTAAGTCGCTTTTGTAGAAACAGCAAATAATCATTTTTCAAAAGAGAAAAACACAAATATATAATTTATATTTGAGTTTGATTTTACAAAGGTTTCTGTGACTTTTGAATACAATTTGACCCATTATACATAATTTTATAGCCTTTTTCTGAAATAATTTTTTGTTGGCATATACATTTTGAATATGCAGTATAAAATAAATCTGTAAGTTTAAAGAGTGTTGATTTCGAATAAAAGAAACCGAATGCTTCTCTTTCTGGTTAGTTCGGGGTGAGGGAACCGCTGTGAATATTATATGCAGCTCTATCAATGTAGGGTCACTTAGAGTAACGTTTTCAATTTCTTTAAATTAATAAAATGTACTTTTGACTTTCAATGTACACTCTGTATAAGCTTAGGTTCATTTGAAATATCAATTTTAAAAACTAACATTTCTTTTAAAATTACGAAAAAAATTTTGAAATCGAAATTAAGAACATTTCTTTCAAAATTTCTAACATATCTTTAGAAGTTATGAACAATTTTTATGAAATTACAAGCATTTCTTTTGAATTTACAAACTTTTCTTGCATTTGATATAAATTTCTTTTGAGATATCATTAACTTCTTGTTCATAATTGCTAGGAAAATATTCCTTATTTCTACATGTTTTTGGTAAATCGATAATATGAACAACGTTTAGGTGGTTTTTCAAAAAAAAAATATAGTTAATGAGTAACCATATATATATATCTATATATACTTTGCATGTCTGTTAGATCCAAAAAACCTCAAAACGGTTGAATCGATGAGGACCCATGGCATGAGGACATGGCCTCAGGGAAGTTTTATGAATGATCAAAATTTCAAAAATTAGCCGCCAACAAATTTCGATTTCCATAAAATTTTGAAAATCCACGAAATTTTTAAAGAAAATCCGCAAACTTTTTGTTCGTTTTTGTGTTACAATGTAAGCAAAATGTTCAAATTGAAACAGAAGATGGGCGCAAAGCGCCCAAAAAGTCTAGTATATGTATATTTATATAACTATACCTGAATCTGAAATGTGAAATCGTTTTGAATCCATTTGGCTGAGGGTTGCACCATTTTTCACCCACGTGATACTCGGCTTAGGGTTCGCTTTGGGGGGAGAACATTTCAGAACAGCTGTATCTCCTTGGGCAATTCGTAGGCTCATCGGCATCATTTGGAAGTTCTCACCCATCACTAAAAAATATGAATTTTGTAAGAAACTGATTAAATACTTGATTAACAAATTACAAAAATGTGTCTAAGTGTTAAAAGGTTAATGTTAGGTAAAAAAAATCCAATATCGCATTTGTATTAAAAAGCCTTTTTTGGTAGACCACAATTCTCAAATTCTCTTAATTGTTTATTGGGAAAAAGAAATGTTATTATTTCTGTAAAACTTGAGAAATGTGAAAGAATTTCTATGTTGAAAAGAATTATGAGGTATTGCTGTGTTCACAAACTATTTTCTAAAGAAGAAAAAGTATTTTTATTAAATATCAAGCAGCTCACCTCCATTCCAGGGGGCGGGG